TTTGGGAGAAAAAGGAAAAATAACATCTTTAAAAAAAACCCAAAAAACCAACTTTGAGAGCACTTCTCTTCCACCATATTGGCAAAAATTTAAGTTGGACAATATCAAGAACTTAAGGTGGAGAAGATCAAGAGAATAAGGAAACAGGAATTCTCAAACATTGTTAGTAGGAATATGAACTAATACAATCACTTTCAAGAATAATTTGAGTATCTAGTCAAATAAAATGTGCACTCCTATGCCCCAGCAATTTTACTCTAGGTACAAATCCTTGGCAAACTCTTATGTGCATATGCATGGAAACGTATCCTGCCACAATGTGAGACAGCAAAAAAGAGAAACAATCTCAATGGTCATCAGTAGGGAAATAATTAAATAAAACTATAGTAAATTCAAAACAAACAATACCATACAGCAGTTAAAACAGAATGGAACTATATTACATATAGATTTACCAAGGATAAATCTCAAAACTGATGTTGAGTAACAAAAGCAAGCTACAGAACAAAATGTAAAGAGTACCACCTATAAAAATAAAAAGACCTTTTTTTACAGAAGCGTAAATGTTTACAAAAAATGTTTTAAAAATGGACTGAGGGGCCGGCCTCATGGCTGAGTGGTTAAGTTTGCAGGCTCTACATTGGCAGCCCAGGGTTTCACTGGTTTGCATCCTGGGCGCGGACATGGCACTGCTTGTAGGGCCACGCTGAGGCGGCGTCCCACATGCCACAACTAGAAGGACCCACAACTAAAATATACAACCAGGTACTGGGGGCATTTGGGGAGAAAATGCAGGAAAAAAAAGAAAACAAGATTGGCAACAGTTGTTAGCTCAGTTGCCAATTTAAAACAACAAAAAAAAGGACTGGAAGGATGTATACTGAATTCATGACTGTGGTTGCTTCTGAGAGCAAGAGGTAAAAGAGGGAAAGCAAACTGAGAATGGGGAATGAAGAGAACTTGCACTTAAAATAGTTTATCTCTTTTATCGAAAGTAAAACTAAATAAAAATATTAACAATGGTCAATTCTTGGTGGAATTTGTTATACTATTGTCTATACTTCTCTGTATTTTTAACTTTATCAATAGAAAATAAAAAAATATTTCCTAAATAAAAACTTGACTCTCCATCCTGAAAGAGAACAAATGTACCAGGAAAAAGTAACCCAAAATGGTTAAGACTGAGATATGCCCTAATAAAATGACTTCAAAATTAAAGAACCATTGGGAGATCAGAACAAAATCTAAAATTACTTACACATAAAGGAAACACATCAGCTGGCATCAGACTTCTTCATAACAACATTCAACACCAATTCTATACTATAAGACATTTAAGGAAAGAATGGCTGATTATGAACAAGGTAGAACTCAGGGGGACACTGTTTGCATGAGTCCTTTTTGAGGAAACTGCTGGAGGACAAACTTCAGCCAATCAAGAAAGGTCTAGAGAAATGTCAGCAAAAAGACTAGTGGAAAACACCAAATATAGTTAACCACAGAACTAAGACTAAGTGAAAGGATGGGATAATGTGACAGAACAGCATGTAAATATAATATGCCTTGACAATGTAAAAAGCACACAACTAACAAAATTTGGGAAGAGAAGGGCAGGGAGTAAAATAAGGCTGCTTATTAACTCAACTGTAACAGGTAAAAATCAAAGGCTGGTTTTGAAAGCTAATCAATCGAGTAACCGAAGGAATAAATACTGTCTAAATAAACAGAGCACTATAACCATCAAAGTAAACACTAGAACAAAAGAAAAACCTTCCTATTTATTCTAAAAATTATAGTATTACATGACAAAAAAGGCTAGGAAAACAGGTAAGTGAAAGTCTTTTTAAAAAACTATAAAAACCAGAAAATACAATATAAAACAATATACAGAATTAAGCCCAAACATGTCACAAATGTAATTTGGACTTTCACCTATTAAATTGAAATGATATTCAGACTGGTTCCCAAAGCAAAGCTCAATGCTATACTGCACGTAAACCCCACATTTAAAACAAAAGGATTCTAAACGTTGAAAATGAAAGGATGGGTAAGGGCCCTAAAGAAAGCAGAAAAAGGCAAGAAACAGATGCCCCCCCAGGGCTTCCGGAAGGCAGGCAGGCCGCTGACATCTTGATTTTAGCCCTGGAAGACCCATTTTAACTACTGACCTCCAGAGCTATAAGATAATCAACTTGTATTGTTTTAAGCTACTACGTTTGAGGGAATTTGTTACAGCAGCAATAAGAAATTAATACAGAAAGTAACTCTTTCTGGAGGGGAATTTGGCAATTCCCAACAAAATTACATATGCACTTAGCAATCCCCTATCTCAGAACCTACCCTGAAAATACAGGCCCAACAATACGAAAATACATATGACTAGGTTATTTATTGCAGCATTGTTGTAACTGTAAAATACTGCAAACATCCTAAATGTCCACATGTTAGAAAGTAGTTGAATAAATTATCATGATATCTGCACAATGAAGTATTTCGCAGCTGTTAAAAAAATGAAGATCTCTGTGAATTAATGTGGCATGATTTCCTGAAAATATAGTTAAGTGAAAAAAGCAAAATGTAAACAGTATCTGTAGTATGCTACTCTTCATGTAGCATACAAGGAGATAAAAGAAACTACACATATACCTGCTCATTTGTGCAAAAGAAACATAAAGGGCAAACTTGAAAATAAAGAGATTAGTAATCTACAAAGTGTGGGTAAGAAAGAAAGGGCTAGGAAGAAGTAGGGAATAGAAACAGGAGAGCAGGGATGAGGAGGGAGCAAGCATAGTTTTGAGTCTTAGAAGCATGTAATGTTTCAGATGCCAAAAAAATAAACAAGTAAAACCAACCAGGATGTGGTAGAAACCCAAAACAGAATACAAACAGTAGCAAATAAACCTAAAAGAACTAACCTAAGTAACTTTGGAAAATAGTATTTTGACTGAATATTGTAACTCTAAAGACAAAAAAAAGAACCATATACAAATAATGTAATCTAGTTAGTAAATTTGTTTCTCACAGAAGAATAGGTTGGAAATTCTGAAACTACTTTATGTGTATACTAAAATTGAGCAAATAAGTAAATAGACTGTTTCTCAGTGTTGGAAAAAGAAATTACAAGTAAATAAAGGAGGGGGGTTAGGATAAACCCTGTGGAGCAGGACTAGAATCAAGGCATGAAGATAAACTGATCATTTTAATACACAACAAGATAGAGGCAGAAATACAGAGGTGTGTGTGTGTTAGTGTACACACATATATTTTCCAGCTCAATCTACGTGAGGGCCTAGAAGCAATGGCATCCCAGTAGCAACGAGCACACCTAATACCCAGACCTTGGTTTCTAACATCATTTCCCAAGAAGAGGAATGAGGGCTCCTTGGAGAAGTGGTTGATTGAAGGCTGGGGGAAAGAAAACAAGGTAAACCTGGAACACCTAGAACCGGGAAGGAAGTGCTCAGATAACAGACGGGGGTATGTTAAAAGGTCAAAAGAACCAACTTGAAGGAGATCCCAATGGTCAAAGCTGGAACAGTTTGAACAACAAAATAATGACTCATTGGATTCACTGTGAGGTAATCATAGACAAAATAAAAATCCATGATTCCATAAATATAAAAAAATAATTGAATATATAAATAAATGGGAGAGAAGGAACAGCTCCTAATTAACAATCCTAATTAACACATGTAAAGAAAAGAAAGAAATGGAAAATCAACATTAGGTCAACAATACAGTAATAATTGTTGCAGACAAGATCCAAGGGGCCAATGCTAGAATTAGTGGGCAAAAGTTTCAGAAGAAATTAAATAGTCTCAAAGTATATCCCCCAAGATATTTATTAATTACAAATAGAAAAATAGTAAATTTACAATGGAGAAACCAAACAGACACCACTTTCACCAAGTGACCAAAGTTAACATCATCGATAATGACATAGCAATATTATGAATACTTTGGTATAAATGCACCGAGAGTGACACAACATTATTTCTGTGGCGCTCTTTTCAAAAATGCATTACCTCAATTTAGTCATGAGAAAACATCGGATAAACCCAAATTGAGTACAAGCAGATGTAACAAGCCATTTATCTAGCCATTTATCTAGAGTGAAGCTTATCTGAAGACTCTGGGAGAGATTTTTCCAAGAAGAGAAAATCAATGGATTACCTAATGCGTCTGAGTGTCTTAAGAGATTTATACAATTGATGGGGAGTTGGGAATTGAGTTAGGAATACATATATAGAAAACTAAGGAAGAAAACAAATAAATAAAACCCCCGGATAATTGTTAACTCTAGGAAAAATAAAAAGTCGTATAAGCAAGTAATCTTCGCAAATGCACAGCACAGCTATGACTAGCATTTAATAGCCACAATAATGCAAATGCTGATTAGTGATTCAATCAAAATTATGCTATTGGTGAGATGAGGAATGGGAAATTGTGTGTGTGTGCGCGCATATGTGTTGGATTCAGGATAAGAAAGTACTAAATTCTTACTTTCTTAGTAAGAAGATATTGGATGAGAACTAAACTGAAAAAACAATCAAGAAATAGCAACATAAACATATTTGTTAGAGACAGGAAGGAAACACCAAAAGAAGCTGTAAAAGTAAAGAAAGTGGATCCCTCTAGGGAGAGGAAAACTGGAGAGCAGGGCAAGAAACTGCCTTTTTTAAGGGAATAAGCCTTGTAAAACTACTTGACTCTTTAAACTATGTGCAATCATAAGTTTGATAAAAATAAAAACTCTAAAAAGAACTCTAGAAATGTATACAATTCTGACCATAAAGGGGAAAGAAGAGCTGGGAAAGACTGAGATTCAAGGTATAGACAGAAGTATTACAGAGTCTCCAATCTGACAGAAATAGGGAGGAAACACCCCCAAGCCCACCCCTGCCCCGCCCCTTAAGCCCTGGGCAGCCTCCTCACATGCAGCCCTTCTCACGATCACTTGGGCTGGCCCCTTACAACAGCCCAAGTTCCCCATCACTCACCTGCATATTGACCATCTGACATCTCTCTCTCTACCATCCAAGGTTCCTTCCCTTGCTCCAACAAGGAGATCATGTTGGGCTTAGAGATGGAGAGTCCTGTTTACAGGAGAAGAAAAATGAGAGCAAGAGAGAGACAGATAGATGGACAAGTCAACCTGCTATAGCCGTTCCAGGACTCAGACTCAATCTCTTGGTCATTAGGCAAGAAAGGACATCAGAGGAAGGGCCACAGAATGGAATAATACTTGCATGGAAGATGAGGAAATTGAAGCTTCTTCCATAGCGGTTCTCAAAGTGCTAGAGCAGAAGCACCATCACCTAGAAACTTACTTGAAACGCACATTCTCAGGCCCCCACCCAGACCTACTGAATCGGAAACCACAGTGGTTCTCAAACTTTAATGGGCATCAGCATCACTGGAGGGCTCATTAAAATCCAGACTACTGGGCCTATTCCCAGAGTTTCTGATTCTGTAGGTCTAAAGTGGGACCCCATAAACTGCAATTTAACAAATTCCCAGACCATACTGATGCTGCTATTCCAAACCATTATTCTACAACAAAGCGAACTACTCATTTCTAACTCTATGAAACTACTTCAATCATTTCCTGGGAACAGGAAGTAGAAATTCAGCTGAGCACTTAAGATGCCCTAGATATTCCCAGTGGAGGAGGCAAAACACCCAGAGGGAAGATTTTGAATTATGGGGGAGAGACATCCTTACCAAGCCATACCAAGTTCCTGTAGTTCTCCAACATGACGTCTCTGTATAAATCTTTCTGAGATGAGTCCAGCCATTCCCATTCCTCTTGGGAAAAACCTAGAGCCACATCCCTGAAGGTCACCAAACCCTGAAATAAAAAATTTCTTGTTTGCCAAGTGGTCCCATATGGTCCTAGCAGGAAAGATGAATTCTGCCAGAGTTCAAAGCTCTAAGTGGTCCAAGAAAAATAATTACTGGGGAACAAGTATGTGCCTAGGTTTATCAAATATTTTGGGGAAAAGAGAAATATTAGAAACAGACTCACCCTTTGAAATGTTCACATTTTTGTGAAAGAGAAAAGACATGCTCAGGAAAAAAATTAGCTTATAGCATGAAACATGAGTTTATAACATGAAAGTATATGAGCAAAGGCTAAGTTTTATGTTACATATACTAAGTATCAAGACATTTTCATAGGGAGAAGTCCTTCATGTCCCCCAAACTAGGATATCAGATGGGTCAGAGTAGTGAAGGAAGGCCGTGAATTGACCTTTAACAAAAAGGCATGGTGTGAAATCTAGACTCTATGTGTAAGGAGAAACTTCCAGGAAAGTATCTGGAAGAAATAATGAAGCATATATATGAAGGGGTTTAAACAGAATTTTCATTGGAAGGGTATATGAAAAATCTGGAAAAACTGACATGTCTAAAAGTAAGAGTTTAGGCTACACCACTGAACTATAAGCTGTGTGAGGGGAAGATACGTTTTATAAGCTGAGGTATATCCAGTGTCTATTACAAAACCTGTCACATTGTAAACACTCAGTAAATATTAGTCACTCAGTGAATAAATGGTGAAGTTTCCTATAAAACATCCATATGAAGGAAGAGCACTCAACGCTTAAAAGTGACAGTTCTTGGGGCCGGCCCTGTGGCCAAGTTGTTAAGTTTATGGGCTCTGCTTTGGCGGCCCAGGGTTTCGCTGGTTCGGATCCTGGGCGCGGACACAGCACCGCTCATCAGGACATGATGAGGTGGCATCCCACATGCCACAACTAGAAGGAACCACAACTAAAAATACACAACTATGTACCAGGGGGCTTTGGGAGAAAAAGCAAAAATTAAAAAAAAAAAAAAATAGACTTCCATTTTGCAGAGAATGGTCTCACTTTTTATTAAAAATAATGAAATGTCAAATATGGTTATTCTACAGAGTAAAAATAAGGATGCATGTGGCTAGAGAAAAAAAAAATCACACAACTACATAGTGTTGTATAACGGCCGTGTGCCCCTCTACACTTCTCTGCATCCTGGGAGGCTGACCTGTACTGACTACATCCATCGACTCCCTTTCCCCACTCCATTTTCAGTTGGGTTAAGCCACATGCAAGAGATGGGAGGGAGGCGAGCGAGGCACATTTATTCCCTGGGCTCCCCCCTTGCAGCACCACGCTGTATCGTCCCTGTCCTTCAGTCAGAGGTCACAGTGCCTGTCAGGGGCCCTCTCCACTCAGATCTCTCTGTCTCTGGGTTCAGTCCTCAAGTTAGTAAGGGAGCTCTGCTGTTATGAGCCCCACAGTATAGCACTACCCTTTGTAGTTTCTCTATTTACTTGTAAATAGTCCTCTTTTGAGTTTCTTGCCAGAGCCCCAACTGATAAACATGTTGACCCAAAATACTTCCAGGACATGACCAGAGATCCCACAAAAGCACCACTAGGCAACTCTACTACACTTCCCTAATAAATTCACTCTCCCACTCTCCCATGACTATTTCACACCTTTTCTCTCTCTCTCAAACTACCACCAACTCCTCCCCGGTTCTCACTTTGAACTTCCTTTCCTCTAGCCCATCACATGCACTTACTGACTTGTATCTGAACTCACATATTCTGCCTTCTCTGTTTCTACAGAAAAAACTCTAGGCTCCTATCTAAGACCAATCTCTACTTGTCCACATAAAGACACTGTTACCTCTCTCCCTTGTAATCATAAGGGAGATAGCAGACATCTCCCTTATATTACTATTCACTTTACTGGATTAGTCCTATCAGTATACAAACTGATATAATATCTTCCATCTTATAAACAGAAAATTCCCTTCCATGATCTCACTCTAGCTCTTGTCTCCTTTCTCTACTCCTCGTAATAACCAAACTCCTCCAAAGAGTTGTTTAGATCAGTGACGTCCAATAGAAATACAATGTGAGCCACATACGTAATTTAAAACTTTTCAGTAGCTACGTTAAAAAAGCAAATACAGGGGCCAGTCTGGTGGCACAGTGGTTAAGTCCACATGCTCCTCTTCGGCAGCCCTGGGTTTGCAGGTTCGGATTCCAGGCACGGATCTATGCAACACTTATCAAGCCATGCTGTGGCAGGTGTCCCACATATAAAATAGAGGAAGATGGGCACAGATGTTAGCTCAGGGCCAATCCTCCTCAGTAAAAAGAGGAGGATTGGCAGCAGATGTGAGCTCAGGGCTAATCTTCCTCACCAAAAAAATAATAATAATAAAAGTAAATACACATAAGTTAAGTTAATTTATCTAAAGTGTTATTTCAACCTGTAACCAATATAAAATTATTAATGAGATGCTTTACATTCTTTTTTGTACTGTATCTTCAAAATCTGGTATGTATTTTATACTTACAGCACATCTCAGTTCGGAGTAGTATATGTGGCTATTGGGTACGTTACTGGACAGTGCAGGTCTAGCCTCATTGTCTCTATTCTCACTTTTTTTCACCTTCTATTCTCTCTTGAACCCAAAGCAATGATGCTTGCATCCCAACCACTCTATAAAGTAGTTCTCGTCAAGGGTATCAATAGCGTCCACGTTACCAAATCCGATGGTCAGTTCTCAGTCTTCATCTTCTTCAGTCCCTCTCAGAATTTAAATCAGTTGACCATTTCCTCCTTGAAACACTTTGTACTCTTGACTTCCAGGACTCATACTCTTCTGGTTTTCCTTCTACATCAGTCCTTCTCAGTCTCTTTTGCTGGTTCCTCTTCTTGTCAGCCTCTAACTCAGTCCTTGGACCTCTTTCCCATCTACATTCACCACAATCCTACCCTCAAGATAATCTCATCTGTCCCATGGCTTTAAACACACTAACGACTCTCAAATCCACATCTCCAGTCCTAAACTCCAGATACATAATCAATATTCCACTTGGATAGCCACCAGGTCTCTCAAACAATATATCTAGAACTCAATTCTTGATCCCCATCTCACTCCACCCCGTCTTTTCATTTCAGTAAATGGCATGACCATTTACACAGTTGCCCAGATCAAAAACCTTTGTAGACATCCATGGTTCTTTCTTCCCCTCACACTCCAAAACCAACCCTGACCAAATCCCGTATTTTCTATCTCCAATATATACTCAGAATCTCACCAGCTCCAGTGCCGCCACCATGGGCCAGGCAGCTGTCACCTCCCACCCGGATTACTGTAGTAGTCTCCTGACTACCTGCTCCCATCCTTACTTCTCTGCTATCTATTTTCCTTTTAAAACACAGATTAAATTACATCACAGACACTCCAATGGCTCTTCATCACCCTTAGAACACAACTGAAAGTCCCGGTCATGACTTTCAAGGGCCTGCATAACATGGTTCCCAGCTACTCCTCTGACCTCACAGTGCTCACTTCCCTCCAAGGATACCGGCTCACTGCTATTCCCTGAACACATCAAACATGCTCCCACTATAGCAACTTCCTACTTGTTATTCCTTCTACTTTGAAAGCTCTTCCCCAGATCTCCACAAAACTTACTCCCTACTTTCACTAGGTTTTTCTTTGCTCAAACATCACTTCCTCAGAAAGGCCATCCTCTACCTCCCTATTTAATAGGGCACTCATAATTACACTCTGTCCTCTATTTCACTTGTACGCATCTCCAGTACAATAAACCATGATCCATCGAAAGAGGAGAGAGTTCTGTTCCATCACACGTTTGAGCACAACACTGAGTAAAAAAGATACTAAATGTTTTGTAGAAGCATTATATGAATAAATAGTGGAATGCTCACTGGGGTATCTGTGACTTTCTCTGAAGTCCCAAAGTCCTGAAAATGAGGTGGAATTTCTGGAAACAAAGTGAAAACATCAACTTACCTGGGATGTGGCTTTACAAAGTCCAACAGCCATTCCTTCTTCCTTCTTCAATTTTCTCTTTCGGAGAACAAAGTCCTAAAAAGGGTGAGTTAAGAAAGAAAAAATGGCAGACCAGCCCTATGTTGCTGATCTGAGACTCACGAAGATAGAACTATTGCCCCTTTATGGTCCCCACCGCCTCCATACTTGGGCCAGCCCCAGCCCTTTCCAAGACCTGATTTTTCTCAGCTTTTTCGGCTAAAGCTGAAGTTAACCTCTCAAGTCCTGACTGATATTAAGGACACGTAGCCTGAACTCAACACAATCTAAAGTCCATCCTACTGCCAACAAGGCGATTTATGATCTGGCCCCTGGCTGTCCCTTAGACCTCATTTCCTACCCTTCTCCCCCTTGCTCACTCCTCCAAGCACAGATTTCCTTACAATTCCTCAAAGACTGTGTGCACTCCTTCTTCAAGGCTGTTGCCTTTGCTTTTCCTTCTGCCTGGACATGGCTCACACTCTCTCCTCCTTCCTTTCTGTGCCCAGTTGTCACCACATCAGAGGGATTTTCTTGGAAATTCTATCTAAAGAGAATCTCCCTTCCAGTCCCTTTTTCCTTATGCTAATGTATTTTTCTTCTTAGCATTTAACACCATTGGATATGTTACTTTTTTTTCTGTTTACTGTCGTCTTCTGAGTAATAGCGTAAGATCTAACACAGCTAGGATTTGTTCAGTTCACTGGTGTATCTCTAGTGCTAGAATAATGCCAGAACCATTGTAGGTGCTCAAAAAGTTTTTGATAAATAAATCTTACTGTGCCTCCTGTAATATAAATAGTGATGTTACATATGTTGTATACGTCATTACCTTATTTAATCTTCACAGAACTGCAAAGGTCGGTATTATTACCCTCATTTCACTGACAAATGAAATTGAGGTTCAAAGCGCTAAAACAACTAACTCAAGTACTAAGAGTCAAACTGCAGTGTGACCCAAAAACTGGTCCTTTTTCAAGAGACCACAATGTCTGACTGGGAAATATTCAACATAACCTGAGGAATCAATGCCATATAATTCTTAGAGAAGCATCCTTAGAGATGGTAGATGCTACCTTTATTACTCCACAGAAATGCAGCCAGAGGCAAACACTGCCAAATTTTAACCAAATCAATAACAAACCGCACAGCCTGAAATATGTTCCTTGTCCTCTCAGAGCCAACATTTCTTCATTCTGAAAACAAGGATAGTTGTGTTTGATCTAGAATTTAGAATACCAGACCCCTTAATTCTGGACTACTCTGCACTAGCCAATTCAGTCTCTGAGAAAGTTACTTCCTTAGTGCAATGCAGCTTTAAAAGCCTCTGCAACCTGAGAGATCAGTGAAGTCTTTTTAGCATCTGGGGGCCCTAAGTAGCATTAGCGTAAAAGAAATGTTTCTTAAATTTCTGTTTGCAAAAAGCTGTGTATCCCTTGGGTAATATTTTCCAAGTTTGAGGTGAGCCAGCAGTCCCTGAAAGCAGGTGATATTAAACACTTGGGCCTTACATAGCCCCCAGGCGCAGGGTGCCTCGCTACTCCTTCACTCCTCGGCTAAGAACCTTGGGCAAGTTAATCCATCGCTCAGAACCTTTCTTTCCTCACTGTCAAGACTGCATGAGTCAACTCCTGGTATAGAGAAGTGCCAGCCTTGGGCCACCTTAGATTCTACACACACATTCGGAGATGAAATGAGAACACTTTCCTTTGCAGACTGAGAAAGAACCAAAAATTTAGCTCACTTGGTACATCAGAAAAAGAGCCACGATCAGCCTCTCTCATCGTCAAACATAGAAGAGTTTTGACAAGGACAAAGCTAAAATCTCAAACTCCACGGCCTAAGGAGAGGAAGACAGGCTTCCAGGTTGGGCTTCCCTCCCCAGAGGTGGCCAATTTGAGGCTGGTCTCACTACAGTGTCTTCAGTCTGCGTCCTGTGACTCACGAGGGGACTGAAGGGAGACCCAGGTTAAGTTCCCACGTCCCCAGGGTTCCTAGTCCAAGACCAGGGACAATGCTCTCCAACACTCTCAGAACCCAGGGCTCCCATTTTTCATTCGTACAATCTGGGAAAGATCAAGAGAGTTTACTAATTAAAAGCAAGGACTCAGGAGCCTAACTGCCCAGGTTCAAGACCCGGTTCTGCTTCTTAATAACTGTGTGAACTTGGGCAAGCAGTTTTCACCTTTCTGTGCCTCACAATCACACACTAGGTCTCACATACACGTACAAATTCTCACCCAATCACACACATATACATGGTTGCACAATCACACCCACAATGTCACACACATACACAGTCGCATTAACACAAAGATAGAGGTGATGATACACAATCACTCCAACAGAGAGACAGTCACACACAATCTCACCCACAGTGACATACGACACAAGGTCACACATCTTGTCACAATTACTCCTACAAAATTATACCTGCAAAGACAGGTGTTCATGGGCACACAATCACATCTGCTGTCACACACAAACAGTTATATCCACTGAGACAAGCGGTCAAACATAATCACACACACATTCACACAGCGACACACGCACACACAATGTCACACCCGCAGTCTCTCACAAACCCATACACAATAACACAGTTATACCTGCAGAGACAGTCACACACAAACTCAGTTTCATACCGGAGACAGACGGTCACGGTCGCCTACAATCACACACACGGTGACACACAACATCACATTCTGTCACACCTGCAGCCTCTCACACAGTGATCCATGGTGACACAGCCTCCCCAGGGGCCCGTCTGGTCCCCATCCTCGTCCACGCAGCTCCACCCCAAGCCCGGCCCTGACCCCCTGCTCGCGCGCGCAGCCAGGCCCAACTCACCTCCCGGCGCCACGGGCTCTGGAAACCCGCCCGGCGGCCCGAGCCCCGCGACGTCGCCTCCCAGAATCCCCCACGGGGCGGAGCGGGGCGGGGACTGAGGCGCGAGGGACCCGGGGGTCGGCTGGGGAAACATCCAGCTGCGGGAACCCGGACTCGCTTTGCCTTCCGACTCTGCGAACTACCAGCCCCAGAACGCTTTGCGCCGGAGCCTTCTTTGCTGAACTACATTTCCCAGAGGGCCCAAGGCCCGCCGCTGCTTCGCGCCTGCGCCACAGGCGGCAACCAACCGTAGGTGTGGGTAGCTGGAGAGGTGTGTGCGACCCTGGGCGACCCAGGGCCCTCAGGTGACCTTGGGCGACTGTGTGTGAGGAAACGGTGAAGCTGCGCGCGTCCGTCACTGTGACTGAATGCTCAGGTGTGACGGTGTGTGTGTAACTGTCGCCGCACACTTTTGTGCTTGCGCATCACGGAGCAACGGGTTCTGTCAGCGCAGGAGTGTCTGTATCTTAAGTCACGCCCCTGGATTGTGGGTTGTTGTGTGACACATTGTGGGTCTGTAACGCCGAGAATATGAGAGTGATTGTGGGTGTATGAGAGAGACTGTGGCTGACTTTGGACGTGACTGTTCCTGTAACTTCTTGGCCCAGTGACAGGCGGTGGAGCTTTGTTTGTTCCTGGGCTTGCCTTTATGGTTAGTACGTGGGAGAAGAGTCTGTGTGTGTCTTTGTGTGTTACTGTCTCCAGATCTAGCTGTTCTCCCACCCCACCCACACACCATCCCCCACCCCCCACCCCCACCCCACCCCTCACCCCCGGCCGTGGGCGGGGTCAGCGTTATCCTCTTTCATACAACCCTTCTCTAACTGCACCTAATGTGAGGCCGGGCACAGAAGGGAAATCAGATTCCATTTGTAGGAAGACGCTCATTTGCACCAAAGCCGTTTATAATTTTGTAGCCAGTAGCTCTGGGGTTTGTCTTGTTGCTGTTTCCACCTTTTCGCTTTACAACCTTACTTAGGGCTCAGCTTTAAGAAAACTGCCCACAGAAAGGACAAGAACGTGAGCCTTCGAGTGATGTTAAGGAAAACCAGAGCTGGACAGTAGTTGAGGCAGTGAAAAAAATATGTTATTCAGGAACTATTGCGATAGAGGAAAAGAGACTTCAGTATGGAACTGGGCTCAGTTCCAAATACAGCAAGAACAAGTGGGGATTTATGGGCAATGAGCAAGGTGGGGGTGGGGAGGGTGGATGGAAGATTACTAAGAGGAGACATCAAGGGTGGGAGGGGATTTTGGCTGGACTGACCCACAGGATTCTTGCTGAGGGCAGGTCGGGGAGATCAGACATCACTCCTGATGTGTGGGTGGCTGAGGAATTTAATTAGATATTGAGAGTGATCAGATATCAAGAATTCTGTTTAAACCAACCTGATATAATAAAATATATATAATAAAATAATAATTTGGATGATAACTGTGGTTTGGTACTTGACAAATACATCAAACAGCTCTCCCCTGGACTTGATTATCATGCAGTTTGGAAATCATCTGGGATGTTTCATACTAAGGTGCTAGAAATTTAAGATCTTCCATTCTTGACTGGCAAGATATACCTCCAGAGCAACTTTGTATGTGTAGGACTGCCTCTTCACATGTCAGTAATTGATCATCGGAAGACTCTTTGTCCTCTGTTTATTTTTCTTATCTCATACCGCCAAGTCCAACCCTGAGTTTGACCCAGTCATCTCCAGTAGAATAGGGCAGTGGTCCTCGAATGTGCCAACTAAGTAAGTGGTTGCAGCGCTAAAACCAATTGTGGTAGGACTCTGTCTATCAGGGTCTAGCGAAGAAAGCAGAACTACACCGGGAATTTTAAACAGGAGATTTCATTATAGGAAATTGATTACACAGTGTTGAAGGACTGAAAGAGCAGGAAGGGGAGAGATTTGTAACTTCGGGAAGCAGCTAACATCCTAGAGCTTGGAGAACAAAGGGGAAGAGATGGATTTGCTAGGACCTGAGAGCTCTGAAGAGGGCTCTCAGCCTGGCTGTTAACTGGATTTGATAGTCTGGTGCTGGGAAAGCAGAAAGAATCTGCAGGCAAACTATAGCCCTCCTCAGCTGCTAGGGAGAGTGAAAGAACTGGAAAATAGCAAGTGAGTTCCTTCTCCCTTTCTCCCTTCCAATCTCTCTTTAATGCCTCCATT